GATCGGCAGGTGGTCATTGTCGGCCTCGCGGCATGCCGAGTGCATGCTCGGATGAATCTGAATTTCTAATTGTCGCCAATGGCGCCATTAATTAAATGGCAGCCAAAACGAAAGCGAGCGAGCCGGGCTGATTAAGGCGATGAAAAGTCGCGCGCTCGCTCGCTCACGACCCGCCATTTTTTTTTTTTTTTTTTTTTTCGTCCGCGAATATCGCGCAGCTACCGGCAGTTCTCTCTCCGGTTCTCTCTCCGCGAGATAAGTCCGGGATATATCGTTATCGGCGATATCGCGAGCCGCGCCGGATTAAATTGCGCTCGTTAGCAAGTAACGCCACCCGCAAGCTTCAAGACTTCGCCTGCATGCCACCATCATGCGATATGAGCGACGTTTTAATCAGAAATTAATTCGATACTTCCCTAATGCGCTTTTATATCGCACTAATTAATATTAGCGTTCCATTGCGGAGACATTACGTGGAAATTGATATTCACGACGTGCGAAGTTTCGATGCTCTCATTTACAGGTTCAAGAACTCTAGTAAAGTTACGAGACAGCGAAAGTTTCGAGTATAGAATTTTTAAAGGTCGATAAAATATACGTAATTAGAAATTAAAATTTAATACGCACAACTCACTTTGGTGTAAAAGCTTATATCAAGATATTCTTATAGAATGAATGATTATAAATTTTGTTTTTTGTTTAAATTTCTAACAAAAATGTTTAAAAAATTTTTGATAACGTGTACAGGTCAGGACACTCATTAAAGTAGTGTATAAAAAATGTAACCAATATGGCGGCCAACTCAGGCCGCCATATTGGTTACATTTATGTCATATAATAATATATTTCACTATTTGTAAATAATTTAATAAAAACTATTCTTAATATTTAATATTTATTCTGACGGTTTTTAACCCTTTTTCAATTGTGCACACGATCGCACAAAACTGTCAAAATAAAAAAAATTGCGCATACGCACATTGATTAAATCGGCCTGAATTGGCAGCCATATTAATTATACATTTTGTTACGCTTGACAGTATAAGTAGTCGATATAGTAGTGTCCTGACCTGTACATAAGACCGTGACAGGAAGAGAGAGAATTGAACATAATAAAAGATTGCAATTCTAATTTCTTGGATGCAACAGAGAATCGGATTCATTCCGAGTATGCGCGGAGAGAATCTCGGAGCTTCGTAGGTTTCAGTTTCCCAGATGAAATACGCAAATTGGAATTATCCGGGCTCAGGGACGAACCAATATAGTCCTCGAGCGACATAGTCCCCCACGCGTCGCAACGTCCTCGTGGCGATAAATCGACGACATCGGGGCATCGTTTTACCTGTACAGCCGGCTCGTTTGTCTTCCGGAAAGACGGCCGGGTTGTTCGGAGGAGGATCGGGTGTAAAGGACGCGAAAGAGGTAATATGAGAGCCTACGGGGAATTCTCTTGCGCTTAGAAACTTAAATGACTCGCGACGAACGTCGCGCGTCCGGAAATCTTAAACCCGATCGGATTTTCAACCTTGTACTTGCCATCACCTCGTAATGTCATAAAAAGTTTCGCGCCAACTTCTTTGCCTATTATATATAGGGGTGATTCAAAGCTCGGTGTTGATTTCTAATTCTGATAGATATGGAATTGACTTACAGAATTGAGAAATCAAGAAAAAATTTTAAAATCGAGAAATATATTGCATTACATTTTTCAAAAATATTTTCGTGATAATATACAAGATATATATGCTCTCCTTTTTTTCTTTTTCTCCCTTATATTAAAAACATTTTCGCGCCAACTTCTTCGCCTATTATATATAGGGGTGATTCAAAGCTCGGTGTTGATTCCTAATTCTGATAGATATGGAATTGACTTACAGAATTGAGAAATCAAGAAGAAATTTTAAAATCGAGAAATATATTGCATTACATTTTTCAGAAATATTTTCGTGATAATATACAAGATATATATGCTCTCCTTTTTTTATTTTTCTCCCTTATATTAAAAACATTTTCGCGCCAACTTCTTCGCCTATTATATATAGGGGTGATTCAAAGCTCGGTGTTGATTCCTAGTTCTGATAGATATGGAATTGACTTACAGAATTGAGAAATCAAGAAGAAATTTTAAAATCGAGAAATATATTGCATTACATTTTTCAAAAATATTTTCGTGATAATATACAAGATATATATGCTCTCCTTTTTTTATTTTTCTCCCTTATATTAAAAACATTTTCGCGCCAACTTCTTCGCCTATTATATATAGGGGTGATTCAAAGCTCGGTGTTGATTCCTAGATCTGATAGATATGGAATTGACTTACAGAATTGAGAAATCTAGAAGAAATTTTAAATTCAAGAAATATATTGCATTACATTTTTCAAAAATATTTTCGTGATAATATACAAGATATATATGCTCTCCTTTTTTTATTTTTCTCCCTTATATTAAAAAAATTTTGCGCCAACTTCTTCGCCTATTATATATAGGGGTGATTCAAAGCTCGGTGTTGATTCCTAGATCTGATAGATATGGAATTGACTTACAGAATTGAGAAATCTAGAAGAAATTTTAAATTCAAGAAATATATTGCATTACATTTTTCAAAAATATTTTCGTGATAATATACAGGATATATATGCTCTCCTTTTTTTCTTTTTCTCCCTTATATTAAAAAATTGGTAAAATATTTTTAAAAGATTAAATTTTCAAAGTGTGCATGCAATATATATGTTTTATATTTCAATATTCATATATGTGTATTAGCATTGCTCTTGTAGAAATCGGATGTTAAAATTTTGGTGAAATTTCTCTATCATCGAAAACTCAAGACTCGCATGTCTTACGAGATATTCGACCCTTTCTTCCCGTTGGGTCGCTCCTACACTTTCTTTTTGCATTTTTCCGTGGAGGTGCGAACGATCGTGCCGTCATCACGAGGGAATGCATACATCGGGGGAGCCTGGGGGAACCGTATTTTATTTCTGTATCGCGACCCGAGAGAGACGAACGAACATGAAACCTTGGCCCGAATCGCTAGTTATTCGGTCGGCGGCAAATTCGCTTAACGAAGCTCGCCACTAACAATAAATTCATTCTCGCGATTCGCGAGATTGCCCGGCCGATTTTTCGCCAAATCGACGACCGTGACGTCCTTCCTCCGAGGACTCGCGGTTGGCACATATAAAACAATACAGTAATAACGAGCTATTTTTAGCTCCAGTCAACATTCAAATTGCGAATGTAGGAAAATTTCGACGAAAATGTGAAAATTGCAGAACTACTTTGATTTATATAAAATAATTCTTTCCATGCGACTTACCCGTGATGACCATCGATGATTCACGAAGACAGGATGGAAATGGTGGAAGGTGGAACAGTGGATTTGACGAGGAGACTTGTAACTGCGATGATTTGTGACGAGGTGACTTATGACGAGGTTTAACAAAAGACGCTCCTTTATTATTATCTTCTCTCGATAACAAGTGACTAGCACTTCGAATACAGCGATCGACATCTGCCTGGAATCGAATTACGCACTCACACATTAGATGCTAATTTCAATTGGAATGTATCGCGAAAAAGGTAGATACGCAACGCCGTTGAGTCTTTCCTCGTTTGAGGAAGCACAACTCTGAAAGCCCATTTTACGGCTTTTTTTTCTACTGAAAACTGACGCGCTAAAAGAGGATCGTACAATTCACCGCTCATTAACTATCTGTTTTCTTAAGTGTAAAATATAATTTTTTTCTTCGATAAAATACTCGCGTCATTAAGCGTGTCAGCTATTGGCAAAAAATACCGTATAACGGGTGAAAAGGCACTCAAAGTATTTATGAATTACGCGAACCTTAAAAGTCGATCGTAAGTCTCTATGCTTGTCGTAGAAAAAAAAGATTTATAAAACATCGCGCTTGCGCGATTATAGAGCTTAGCAAAAAGGCGAACGACCAACACTTTTTACGATATAGTTGACGAGACTCGCGATGATCGATCTGTCAGTGATGAACATGGCAGTCATTCAAACGATCGTCAATATTTTTTAACCCATTAAATTATTTTCTCTTCTTTTATACCAAAAAATTAGATTACAAACAATAATTTGAAAAAGAATTTAATTCTGTATAAATCAATTAAATATACTGTTAGTCATTTATAGTGTTGTGATTTTAATGGCTAATATTTTACTTATATTTTCTTTTGTCGTGATTTTTATATTATTGATTGTTAATAAGTTCAATAAAATGATTTTTTTAATGGGTTCAGCATTTTAACATCCGCGCTCATTATTTCTCTTCTCATAGGTAAATCTTAACAATTATTCACACAAATCTACGAAACTTTTTCGCAGAGTATGATATAAGCGAACATGCGCGCTATTTACACTTAGGCTACTTTCTTTAGGAACATTAAAGTCATCGAATCAATCACGCCTGGCGATAAAGATATTAAAGTCGCTCTCATCGAGCCGCTTGCGAACATCTTTGAGAAATAATTAAGGCGGTAGGCAGAAAATCGAATCGAATCGTGATCTCTTCCACTTAGTGGAAATATTGAAATTTGAAAGACTCATGGGTTTCTTTTCGGGAGCATAAAAATGTAAACTCTAAACAATATAAAATATTTTATTCGCCTACGTACGTGACAAAGAGAAAAAACAAATTAATTTAAAAATTATAATGGCAAAATAACTGATTGAAAAAATATGAAAAATATGACTAAAAATTCTGCATGAATATGTAAAATTTTTTTAAAGATTTAAAAAAAATGTTTAAATTTTTTTATACTGTTTAGAGTTAATAATGTAATAACTTAGATGCCGAGTGATGTGCAAGTGTTATCTGAAATTATAAATTCACACTCGCGGCAATGGTTTCGAAACAATTTGCGATCGAAAAATTATTTTCGATAAATCATCTTAAGGATTACGCCGTTCAGGAACAACTTGCCAGTCACTTGTAATCACTGTAAAATGTTATAGCATTATTTAAAAAAAATACCTTTATGCACACAATCAAGCACGAATTTCCCACGTTGATTCGCTTCTCTCTCGCAAAAATCCGTAAGCATCACCAAAGCGGAATCACACTCGTGAGCGTCACGCGAACATTCTCTTTCGACACTCGTAATACAGTTTTCTTAAAGTATGATGTCGCCCTCCAGTAAATAGAATCTTCTCGGAGGCTGAATCTTCCGGCTGTCAGATATTTTATTAAATTCACACGTTTCAGACTTCCAAGGCATCTCGTATTTTGGATCCTGCGCGTCGATCCCGCGCCAGAAAATCAGTCTTACATCCTCGGAGCTTTTAGACCCCGAATAAGCTTGAGAGGACCTCGATTGTTACTATAGTGAAAATGCATTTTTTCATGAAAACGCTTGGTAAAAAAAAATCTCTTGTCAAAAGACACTTGGAGAACGATTTTCTGATTGGTGGCTCTTCCCGAAAATTCAGGAAAGCGCGAAAAGGGAGATTCTCTTCATCGTTGCCGAGGACCTCGTCAGCGATTGGAGTAGACGTTGCTGCTGAGGACGACGATGTCGGTCCTTCTGCCCGGCTCGTCTCGTCCTCCGAGGAGGAGGGCGCATAGAAGGCGTCATATGCTCAACGACGGCCTCTTCTTACGATCTTTGGTGGTGTTCTTGCCAAAGATCGTCCCGAGGACCCTCGAGACCGAGTGTACTCCGAGTTTTCGGCGAATCGGCAACGCTCGCAGGAGCTGGACCGATCTCGCCTCTCGCAGGAGAGCTTGAAAGGCCAATGCCGCTCCCGCAGGACTCTCCGCGGCGCTTACCTCGTAGAACTGACATCCATGTGCCAAGGACAACTGTTGACCTTCGTCCACGCATACTTCTCTGCAACAGAAATGTTCATCGATCCCTCTTTAACGTTTCCCTCTTTGACAAATGACATATCATATTTATAAAAAAATCTTTTTGTGCGACAGGTATATTTTATTTTTTATTAATAATTATATCAGGATTTTTAAACAATTTCGCTGATTTAAAATGATATATTTAAATTGTACGCATACTTTATAACTTTGTAGATTCGAAATAGCAAGGATTTGACATTTAAGACATATCGTATATATATTCCCGTCTTTGTAACAGACTGGAAGTTCGCAACGCAGTTGTCAGTTGTGCGAGGATAGTCATTTCGCATGATTCACGGGAGTGGTTTATGTCGCGGAACACTCGAATCATGTGCTGAAACATCGATCGGGAACGGCGGAAACGCGGACCGGATGCTGCGAGCGTTCGCAGATTTATATCGCAACGGACGTTGCGCTTTTGCAAAAGTCAATGGAGTCTTCCAAGGTTCGAATTAAATCTTCGCAAAGCGGCAGAAATGTACTGGATCGATGACGGATACTACGAGTTTGGCAAACACCAGACATTGCTTGCAGAGAGAGGTGATTGAACGGCGACATAAAGACCGGACGTTTTACGAGAGGAAACGGAGTCATTGGAATTTCGCCAGGATGTGATCGCCTGACGTCGCAGGATATTTATGATATTAGGGTAGTATAAGTGCCTTGTTAACTTCAATATGTACGTATTTCTAGATATTCTGAATTGCGCGCTTTATCACGTTTATTATAACATTATGGGATATTTTTTCATTACTCAAAGATTGAGATCGAGCGTATTTATAAATATTAAATATTCCATTTTTTATTGTAGAATCTACTTTCTTCGAATATACTTAAGGCTTAATATGCTGACCGCGGGGTGCATTTTAATCGGCGGACAAAAAGCGTGGATAAAAAAAATTCGCGAATCTCCAAATGCGCCAGAGCCGGAAAGGAGAGGAAAAAGAGGATGGGATTCCTGCGTATTTCTAGTGTGAGGAACGCGGCTCTGCGTGAGGCAGAGGAACTCTGATATTTATGGAGACAATTAAATTCGCAGGAACACATGATCCTCACGAGAAGAGCACGTGGGAGGGCGCCCGATTAGACGCGATCGTGCACACAAGCCATTATAGTCATGGCCGTTAATCTGTTCTCTTTTATTTTATACGAGTGGCGTTACTTTACGAGCAGCGTTAGTTCCCGCGTTCTTCCTTAATTCGAGGGAGAGACAAGAAAGAGATATTCATTGACGTGTTCCGGAACGTCGCGTCAAGTGTGAATTATAGATCGTAAGAATAGCACAGATGTATAAAAATTTATAGCAGAAAGAAAATTATATGGGTCATCAAGTTTCAAGTATAATTATAAATCGAAATAAGATTTTAAGAGTCAACATTTTTTTTACATAAATAAAATATAAATATTTTTGAAATTTAAGATTTTAACTTTGAGAGTCGATGAAAAAAATTCCCTGACTTTCCAAGACCAGAAATTCATTTTTTCCCTGACTCTTTAGTATTATTTTTTTCAAATATATAATTTGCATATATCTGTATGATAAATCAATTAAATGTTAAATCATGAAATCCTTGGGATATTTTTGTCAACAATGAGAAGGTTCGGAAGTTAAAAAAACAAAAATTTAAATTAATTATACAATCTGCATTCTGTACGATAATCGAAACAAACATGTCACTATAAACTATTTAAATAATCATCTATTTTATTTATATTATATCAAATTTTTAGTTTTATCTCTATTAAACACATTGAAATGAAATAACGCGACGATGAAAATATAAATTAACGAACACGCTGTAGATGAATCGATTTATTGAACAACACAGAAAATTAGCGTGCTGGGAGTCAAGGAAAAGTTTATATTTATTTAATAAAAAATTTCAAATTATTGAGATAATATAGAATAATGTGAAAAATCCAGATAAGTAGTAAAATTTCCTGACTTTTTTCCCTGACAATTCCAAATTTATAAAATTCCCTGACCACTAGGCACCCTGTTCAAAAATATAAAAATGTCAAATACATTTAAAAATTGTAAGGATTTAAAGCCCTGAAAAATTGAAAATGTAAAAGCGCTTTGAAACGGAAGTATCTTTTCCCGAACCAGTTTATCAGCATCGCTACGAGAGATTGTCCGTAATGATATTTCGAGATATGCGTTATCGATGCGTAATATTCGCGACCGAATGACGGCTCTGGATGTATCTAAAGCGGCGAAAACTCGTTCTCGGGAGAGCGGTTTCACCAGCCCTGCAGCGGACTTCGCTCTAATCTTTATGAACTCCATTAAGACGACGAGCGTAGCTACCGGATAAAGGTACGATGTTCCCTCGATCTCCCGAGTTCGATTTTCGCGAGCCTTTCAAAATTGTTGTTTCCAAATTCTCTCGACTCAAATTTTCTCAACATTTTTTACTATTTATTTAATAAAGTTAAACTGTTAACATTTTTTGAAGAGTCCTGTGCTCCAATATTTTATCGCCATAAAGCTTTAAAACTTTGACAGCTTGAAATTTCAAGAATTTATGCAAAATAAACTTTGCAATATTTGATGAAAAAACTAAATTTTCGAATTTTAAAAATGATAAGTCTCTTTCTCTCTCTCTCACGATTAAATCTATTTTTATCAAGTCTTGAAGGTCTCATATACAAAACGATGTCACACTGATGCGATTAATTTAAAACTGATCATTTTCTCTTCATACGACACACGTAAGCGAAGGTGCGTTGTAATTTATGACTCATCTTATAAAGCGATAAGAGAGAGGAGGAAAGAGAGAGAGAGAGGTCTCGAATAATTCCGGTTTAATTAAATTTCTCAACGATAATCGTGACAGTTACGAAGAGTGTGTATCTCTTGCATGCCATCAAAATGCCAGTTACGTAAATCGAATCGCTCTTTTCCCGCCAGCAATATCGCCGTCGCCGATCGCTTATTGCAACATCGGCGGATTTGTGACATTTTATTTGTGTGACATTTTTGTTATTCGCCCGTGGCTCTATCGAGACATCTCGATTTTCCCTTTGTTAGCTCCTCTACGAAATTCTCAACGATTCCGCGACATTTTATATATACTTTGATCACGCTTTTATGCGCCTCGTAAAACTTGCTCGACCTCTGCCTCATAATTCTCCTTGTCTAAAGGTTGGCTTCACGTTAAAAGACTCAAATGCCGAGAGTATATCCGTCAAATTCTATTGTATCTATACTTCGATCTTCCGCCTGCCTGTTTTTCTGTCCATGCGATATTTAACAGGCATTTTAGAAGAAAGAGAAGAAAGGCTGTGCTAAACTTATTATTAAATTACAAAGACACCAATCTAATAATAAATATGTCGAGCTTTGAATACTTAAACTTTAAGATCAACACCTCTTTGGAACTGTAGAATAGATTAAGTTTCAAACTCTAATCATTATATTTATCTTTTTTCTTTTTCTATCTTGAATTTAATTTTTAATTTGGAGATACGAAACTTTCTTGAATATCCTTGAATTCCTTCATGGATATACTCCCGACACCTTCGAGACATCCTGTTTAGTATAACATCGTGTGTAATTGTAATGTTGTCGTCGTTACTAGATCATCGGTGAGATTCCTCCCGGTATGCAAAACCCCATAAAGGAGGCGTAAGGACGAGAAGGTAGCTCGTAAGGCGAGAAAAGGAGCGTATCTTCGTTAACGACAATCCGCATTCCTGCGAGAATCGCGCGGAAAATTCCTCTTCGTTCGATGAATAGAAGGAGAAAAGAATTTTTCCCCTAAGTCTAAATTAAACACGCGATCTTCGCGAGATATAATGAGTGATAAAGATGATTTATTAGAATATAATAAAAATTTAATATTAAAAATTGATCAAGAAAATATTTTAGATTAAAGGAATTATTAATCTCGAATAATCTTATAATCTCTCGCCCTAAATAATTTATTTTTTAATAATACATATATTTTACAAAAAGAGATTTTTTCAGTATAGAGAAAATTAAACCAGTGTCTATTTAAAATTAATTAAATTGCAAGATTTAAATAAAGATCGTGAGATACCAACTTTACATTTTGTTTAAAAAAAAATTCTCACGGTGAATTGACAAGAGATGCATCTGGGAAATTTATCCATTAGACATGCATCGCGCTGTCCTATTAATGTATATTTATTCTCGACAGACACACGAGAAGCCGCGCCAATCCGACAAGGTTAATGAGCCGCCGTCGCCAATCTTTATTCAAGTTACAAATAAAAACGATGAACGCGCGCGTACTAGTATTTCCTAGCTTTCTCTCGCCCGAATCACGCAACGCAATGATGCACTTTGAGCGACTTGTTGCATAAAATGCAACAAGATGTATCGATGCTTGGGAAACTGCACACGCAAACCACACCTGTTTATATCCGCGCATCTTTCAACCAAGTACATTATTTTTCTCATCAATATATATGCTTCATTTTATGCATATCGGGATGAAAAATTATATTCTGCCAAAAAATTCGCGCAAGAAAGTTGTTTTGTAAAAATTCGATCTCTTTTACCGCCCATTATAAGACTATTTACTATTTCACCAAATTATAAAGGTATTAATAAAAGATTAAGATGTTCTTGTCACTTTCTCTCTTATAAATCTTATGATAGAGAAATGTTTAAATTTCGAAATTCTTCAAATTTTCATACATTTAGACTGTTAATTAACTTGTTTTTAAATCAACAAGTTGTAAAATTTACATAAGTCCAAGAAACACGATATGTGTTTCCGATATATAAAATCGTGAGAAAGCTTACATAACAACTTGATATACTCGTGTCTCTTTTAATCGGCAAGCATCTATTAGTATATACGTATACGCGATACCCATTTACTTATCTATACATATTTATATGTCAAACCGCCGGATTCCCGGCGCCGATATGCGAAACACGACACGTGACACCTTGCTTAGACCGCAGATGCCATCGATTCGAGATCACACCCGGAAGTCAGGGTGTCCAGCAGACTCAATGAAAAAATTCCCTCACTTTTTCAGATTTTCCAAGACCAGAAATTCATTTTTTCCCTGATTTTTTAGTATTATTTTTCCAAATATATAATTAGCATATGATAAATCAATCAAATGTTAAATCATGAAATCCTTGAGATATTTTTATCGACAATAAAAAGTTTCTTGGAAATTAAAAAAACAAAATTTTAATCAATTATACAATCTACATTATGTACGATAATCGAAACAAACAAATCACTATAAACTACTTAAATAATCACCTTTTTTATTTATATTATATCAATTTTTTAATTTTATTTCTATTAAACACATTGAAATAAAATAACATGAAAATAAAATAAAATAAAATAATAATTTATTTAATAAAAACAATTCCAGATTTATAAAATTCCCTGACAATGCTCGGTTTTCCAGATTTCCCTGACTGCTGGACACCCTGATAATAAAATTTATATTATAAATACAAACACATTGAAATAAAATAACGCGACGATAAAAATATAAATTAACGAACACGTTGTAGATAAATCGATTTTTAATACAGAAAATTATAGCGTGCTGGGAGTCGAGAAAAAGTTTATATTTATTTAATAAAAAATTTCAAATTATTAAGACAAATATAGAATAATGTGAAAAAATCGAGATAAATAGTAAAATTTCCTGACAATGCCTGGTTTTTCAGATTTCCCTGACTGCTAGACACCCTGGCAGTGGTCGAGTCGTTCGACGATTCAATCTAGAAACTGTTCTCGCGCGATACTTTGCCTCGCCAGATATCTGTTTACCTGTCCGAGTCGCCTGACCGACTTGGATGAGTCGCTTCGCCGGAGTTGACGTACCAGTCGGCCGATTAACTTACTCCGTCATCGTCTCCATCCGATCCAACGTTCGGTTCGTCGAACTCATTTTTTTGCGAGAACAAGTGTCACGCTAACAAAAAACTTACGCGCGTCGCAAAAAATCCGATCGCAAATAAAAAAAAAATTCACCAAAGTGACCAAGTTCTCCAAACGAGTTTCGAATAATTTCGACAGTTCGCATCTTTGCGAGCGAAATATACGAGCGAGAGAAATGCAATGAATAAAATATTAAATCGCACCTTGTAAAAGATCGAAATATTCAAATTAGGGGGCAACAAAATTGCAGCTTGGAGCAACGTAATAAAACGTCGGGGGAAGCCGTCTGGAAAAAACGCGAATCGCGTGCAAAATCTCACCTCGTCTAGGAAACGAAGGAATATATATATACTCTGGCGAAGATCCTGTTACTCGCAGATGGAAAGTGAACTGTGGGGATTAATAGGACACATATGTATGTAGTATGTATTACATACATACGCATGGCAAATCGCGGATCGGTAGGGTAAGTGCGATGAAAAAAAGGAAGAAAAAGAAGGAACGAAATGATCGAATAATCGACGATGCGCCGAGGGCGATACACGAAGTCGGCGATCGCGCGACGCGAAATGATATTGTAATTCTTGTGCCATTTAAGCGGTTCTCATCACGATCCGTATCGAGATATCGAACGATTTCGCGGCAACATCAATTTTTATTTCGAAAATTATTCCGCAGATTTCACATTTATTTGTCGCACATATTTAACGCTTCAAAAAATAGTCTTCAAAAAAAAAAAAAAAAAATATTTTTATTCCTGTGACAGATTTCTTGTCGAATCGAATATCATTTTTGATATTCGATATTTTTGATTAAGTGCAATAATATTAAATTATATACTTTGGAAATATATAAATTCTATATTTCGGAAATTATATCTATACCTTTAATGTATTGAATTTAAAAAGAGATTATATCATTAATCGATGAAATATTTCAGATACTAACAGAAGAATATCGTCGTGTGGAGACCCCTTAAGACGCCAATCGGCCAAGTGTGCCAGACTTGCGAGGCCGCGGGTAAAAATGGGCCACGTATAAGCACATTATTTACGAATAAAACCTCTCTTTATCTTTTTTTTAATTTTATCGCCACGGAAAATTTATTCGGTAATATTCATCGTATTACGGTCTTGTCATCTATTATTCAACAACAGATTGAAATGCGTGTTTATCGAATGCTATATATATATACACACACACGCGTTTCATTTACATATATCGATTAATTAAAACTTACAGAAAATAATAAATTAATTGTAATATGATAAAAATAATCGTCAACTGTAATACGATATACGAGACTCAATTAAAAGGACTTTTTTTCGCGTTGATAAAGCGATGAAAAATTACTGCCGTGCCATAATATTGATTTATCAGTAATTACCGTTTTTTATGCCCGAAGTGAGCACATAATGCGCGGTTTATTTGGCCGTACATCAGTATCGAAGATCATCATCGGACACGCGTTATATACGAAGGTACACGCCCGTCTCTTACGAAACCGTTAATCATATTTGCAACAATGTGATTTATGCTTACCGCGCGTGGTCCAGATCTCTCTTGTTGCCGAGGAGGAGGGCAGTGAAGTAGGATGGCAGACGTAGATCTGCGAGTTGCTTGAGGAGTCCGCGAGCTTCCTGAAAGCTCCGCTTACATGTCACGCTGTAGACAACGACGAAGGCCTCGCCCCATCGTATGTGCGAGTACAGACAACCGTTCTCCTGAAACAATCGGCGAAACACGACGACCGATTATTATACGACAGTCGAGAACCGATTTAATTTGGCATTCAGATCCGTATATCAGTCTTAGCACACACTGTAAAAAAATATGTAAAATTACATAAATAATAAGTGTAAAATTACACGATAAATAATAAAAATGATTACCTTTTTATTATTTATCATGTAATTTTACATTTATTATTTATGTAATTTTACATATTTTTAATGTAATTTTACAAAATTTTTTTACAGTGCATTTACACACTCAAAAAATCCATGTGTATATACATTTACCAGGATTGGGTAATAATTAATTAATTAGTTAAGATCAAATTGAATACTTAAAACGTCGCTAGTGGTATTTAAAATAGGAACGATATATTTAATTCGACCCAAACTAGCGAAGAAAATTTTTATTTTATTTCCACAACGTTTCGACCATCTGTTTTTGGTCCTTTTCAAGTGAAAAATTCTTTGATAAAAGCGCAGTTAGTCGACACTATTGTCAGATGGTCGAAACGTTGTGGAAATAAAATAAAAATTTTCTTGGCTAGTTTGGGTCGAATTAGTTAAGAGTTAAAAAAAATTAATAACTTTTAACTTAGCTTAGTTAATTTAAAATGTATTAATTTTTAACTTCAACTAGTTATTTTTGACCTTAAACTTTTTCCTTGAGTTCATTTTTCGTTTTAATATATCTTATGATATTTAAATGGCGATATAAAAATGCCTTTTAAATATCTTACGATATATTCATGCAAAAATCTGTTTAACTGTAAAATATAAGGTGTTTCCAAATTTGTGGAGGGTACTGTAGGTAAAATTACTTACTATTTTTATGTAAAAAATCACTTGTAATTTTAAATTTAATATTTTTACTTTATTAGAACTTTATTTTATAAGCATTTATCCATTTTATTTGTAACATTATTTTATAGCATTTATATAGCATTGTATGTGTAATTCCATGTTCAGTGCAATATTTTTAATCTTGAAAATATATAAGGATATGTTTCATATGAAATTACACATAATCTGTAATCTAATATGGGTATAGCAATATTGCATGATTATGCTGGGTCGAAAAAAACCCAGCATAATCATGTAATTTCACACAAATATTTTTTTCAGTGCAGAATATCCTGTCCTTGTATGTAAATAATTAATATATTGATAAATATAGAAATCGCTCTTAGATTCGATCCTTTCGCGCTTTAAAGAAAGAGCTCTAATTAAAGATCTCTTAAAAAAGTTTAATAAATTCCTACAAAACTTTATCCGAAATTTTCGCATCTCGAAATATCGTACCTCTATCTTTAAAAGAGAGAGAGAGCATTTATTTCAGGCTACATTTATTTACGTACGCGAATAAAAGTGTTTTTAATGACTATACGAAAAAAATGTGCTGGAGAGACGAGCGCGCTGAAAATTCGCCGCGTGTTGATTCCTCAACTTGCATCCGTAAATCTCAGCCATCGCTTAAAACTGCCGCACATCCGGCCGAGAGACTGAATTTTATAGACCAAGATAAACATATACCTCGAGGGCGAGAGTAAGAATCTCCGCCTATTTACGGGCGTTATTTACGGTTAAATCTGTCGAATTAACATTGCGTGTAACGTGCTCGTAAATAAACGCCACAGGAATTCTGACAACGGCGAATATTATACGCGCACCTTGCAACGCAATGTTGTAACGTCTTAAAGAATTGTTGATATCCCGCTGCAAAAAGAGAGCACTCACAAGTTGATTGCATTGTATCAAAAATTACGCGATTTTCTGTAATATATATATATAAGAATTTTGCTGATATTTAACGAATGTGAGTCATGATTTATGCACCTTGAAATTTATGAATCTCATTATTCAAGTGTTGAAATCCGAAACTTTTAAGTTCGTGTGTGAGACTTTTCGAAGATTATAATATAACTTTAATTTTCAACATTTTACACAGTGTACTGAAATTGTAAATTTTCAAATCTACAAAGCGTAATCGACTATTAATATTTATTATGCTGAAGTTATACAATTATTCAAAGTAAGACACATTTTTAAGATAAAATTTCTACATCTTAAACATTTAATACCTTCACCTACACGAAATTTGCATAATCAATCAATCAGTTAAAAAGCAAGTTTATATAATTATTTAATCGTGTAAAGAAAAAAAAATCCAAAGTAATTAATATTTAAAAAAAGAATTATTATACGCATAGAAATGTTGTCTTTTAAAGAGATATTTAATAAATAAAAACCTATACATATTTATAAAAAAATTGTTATAACCATTTATAAAATATGATAAATAAAAATGTAATTCTTATGTAATTATATAAATAGGTACAATACTGAAATATTTTAGATATGTTCATATAAAAGCATTAGTTATACTGCAAATGTTTTAAGATATTTTTAATTTTTGTTGAAATAAAATCTAGAATATTTTGATATATTAAAAGAAGAATAATGAGATATGTATTATACGATGGGAATCATAAATATTAAATAAATCTCACACCACGCTTTCAAATTTTCTCCGATTTAAATTTACTATTATCATATTCAGATTGAGAGCGTGTATATAATACACAAATTACAGAATCGAATTATTCAAGTAATGAAAAGAATCGTTATACATCATTAATTTATGATATATTATTAATTGATAAACATAGCGTTAATTAATAAAATTAATTAATGAAACATTCAGAGAATTAATTAAACATTCAAAGAATAAAATATCGTGTGAATTTATTTTGTAGTACATTAAAATATTTCGTGGCAACGACGAAATGTGATGACTTTGGCGACATACATATAAACATTAATGCGTTATTATTTATGCATGTCTTGTTATTATACATGCGGTGAGACTCGAGCAGGCATTGTATTATAAAGAAAGTGATAGGGAATAGAAATAATAGACATATCATTTCATAAAGACTGTTACACACAAACGATTCTAATATTTTCTCTGAAATATTTCTATTCGAATATTTCGCCTCGCGTTTTAAACTTTTCATCGAATTTACATTTTCATTATCACTGTGATATTTAATGCGGCATGAATTCGGTTACACAATTTACGTTTTCTGAACACTGAACGAATCGAAGCTTGGTGCGATCGTAGTTTCCTTGTGCGTATATGCTATTCTCCCGTTGTAATACAATAAGGTTCGCAGAGTCGGGAATGCAAAGTGTCGCGCGATCGTCGTATTTCGCTGATTATAATGCGCGCGCGATCGTAATTAACTGTATGCTCGCGAATGAATGTCACGAAGAAGCAATAAGGGGTGAACACAGAGAGAAGAAAGAAGCCTGGGGTAGCGTTGGACAATAACAGAAACATCATGAGATAAGCAATTTATGACTTGTATATGTTAGATGTGAAATTCATTGCTTGTTTATACATATCTGCACTATAACTAATTTTATATATCTAGATTTTATTTTTTCAAGTATTGCAAAGATTTTATATTAAATATTTTTTTATAAAATATATTTTCATATATAAATATATATATATAACATTTCGATATTGTTCAAGAAATGTATATAATTGTTTTAAATTAGATTATAATTATTTAAATAAAAAATATTTTTAATTCTAATATTTTATAGTAATTCTTTTATTAAATATTTGTTTAAAATAATAAATAAAAAAATTCTAATAATTATTTTTGAAATCTTAATTAGCTTGTATGTTACCTTTTTTGTTTGATATTTGACTATATTTATATATTATTGTACAACAATGAATCGTTTAATTAATTTTCATAAATATTACGATAAGTGTGCTCTAGATATTTCATAATACAGCCGAAACTGTACGAAAAACGGCTCGTGTTGCGAATCAAAATTGATCATATATATCTTCTTAACATTTATCTCATCTGAGAATTTTAAACGAGTACCAAATCTGTCGCGTAACCTCGACCGGATAGACGTCATCGACGTAAAACATCGGGCAGGCGTGCATCTGTCGCGTCGTGTGAGACATGGTTCGAACCTTGCTCATAAATATTTATTGACCGATTGTATTCGAAGCAATTGAACGCGGTGCCGGAATTGCATTCACGCATGTCACGTGAGTGCATCGGCGGCGAGTTGCACAACGCCGCCGACGTGATCCATCCACCAGTTATGAAATAATGCAGAACGTCTCTTGATTAAATAACGCTTTAATACACTTTGTGTCGCGTAATTTCGCGAAAACGCGTCCTTATTATTCATTAATCATCATATTTTGTCGCGATTAAATATGACAAACGAGCGAGCTCATATATGCAACAATTTACATTTAATTTCGCTTGTGAATAGACTTTTGTATCCCATTTAATTTTGATATATATTATATATCAAATAATTATTTATCATATTTTACATCATCTAATTTTATTTATAGAAGCTAATTTAAATATTTCTGATATATATATAATATATCAAAAATATTTAAATTAGCTTTTATAAATAAAATTATATGAAAAAACTCAATATATATATTTGATTAAAGACACGCATGAATTTTAGCTGAATTTATAACAAAATTTATTAAAAGGCTATTTATAGAACGTAACTTTCTAAGTTAGGTGAAAGATGTAAAATTTAATGTTAATTAAATGAACTGCATAATAAAAAATCAAAATTAAAGCTTCGTATTTTGTGTAAGTCATTTCGCAAAATTTTGAGTTAAGACAGTGCGGATAGGTAAAAAAAAAATATACATATAATCGCGGACTGTATATTTCGTGCGGCGGTCTTCTTAACGGCGCGACAGTTAACAGGACACCCGATAGGAACGATCGTACTGTTCATTCGGAATCGATTCAAGTGGGCGAGAACCGCGCGCTTTAACACCTACGCGATCCCGCCGGATAAGCAACGATCGCTCCGGCGACGAAGTTATGTTGCTTCGTGTTCGTGGCGCAGATAACAATCCCAAAGGCTATTCGCCTTTACGGATAGCGCCAATATTATCGACTAATAATGCCCCCCCG